CATGTCAGACACATCCACATTTGTTGTAATTGCATGCCAGTTGTTGTTCTCAGCTTTACAAGGAAGCCATGCTGGTCACTCTGGTTTGTTTACATTCTTGTATCAACTCACTGTGGAGTGACACCAGCTTGCATGCTCAGCTGTTTTTAGCCAGTATGAATGAGCAATGTGTGTCTGATGGCAGTGACACCGAAATAAACAGTGCGAACCGCACTTAACAATACTTCGTTTTCAAACCTTTCAGTTTTAATGTGGTTTTTAATAGCAACATGCACATTTAAAGGTTAATTCCAGTTTTTTGGTTACATACTTTGGGGTTTAAATGACAAGTATGTGTACAAAATGTTTTGGAATTTGTCCAGTAGATCACCTCAGCTGGCAGCTGTGAAATGCGCTGCAATGTAATCCTTGGGGGCAATTTGTGCCTGACAAAAGTACATCCAATAAGAGTGCTTATTTTTGTCACTTACAGGCACCAAATTTTGACAACATTATGAAAGGGAGTACTACAGAGATAGACTTTTTTGTTAAATAACCAGAAACAGAAATCTCAGTGAAGGAGAAGTCTTATTCTGAAATCTTGTGAGAGATGAGTTGTAGGAAGACAACAGTGGAAACACTAGTTAGTAAGTCATCTTACTCTTTATCAAAAAGGTCTATCTTTGTTTACTCTCGATCCTTTTCATAGTGTGGTCAGACACTTGGGGGGCAGCAACCTCATTTAGAATCTTAGTGACCTGAGGGTAGAAGATCTTCCTGAGCCTCTCACTGCTGGTGTATCCTGGTGTATCCTGTACCTTCTTCCTGACCACAACAGGGAGAAAAGGCAAAAGACTGGTATTCGGGTGGTTGGGATCCTTAATGATGGTGGTGTAAATATCATTTAGGCAGTGTAGAGCACCGCTTGTGTGTTCAGCCAAACAAACTCTTTGCTGGGCCGTAGCTGTTTCTTTGCCAGGCAGTAATGTAACTTGTCAGGACACTCTCAATGGTACTGGAGGAGATATTCTTTAGTATTTGAGGGGATACCTGGAAGTTCCTCAAGCGTCTGGGAAACAGTCTCTGCCTAGCCTTTCTCACCACTGAGTCAATATGCAGTGCCCAGCTCAGGCCTTCGGTGATATGATATATAACAAGGTACTTGAAGCTATCCCCCCTCTCTACAGAGGACCGGTTGATATTAAGGGTGGGCATAGTTCCTTCCCTGCTCTTCCAGAAGTCCACTATCACTCTTGCTTACATTCAGGAGGTTGCTGTCCTTCCTTCAGATAGACCTTTTCATTATCTGTGATCAGGTCCACTATAGCTGTCGTCAGCAAACTTGATGATTGTGTTGGAGTCGAAAGTAGCTACGCAGTCATGTGTACTTGCTGTCTGAGGCTAAAATGTGGCTAATACAACATTAACTATAAATTTACTGATGGTTATATACAGTATTTTACTGTGGATGCTGTACATGTTTATCAAATTAATCACTGTGTTGTGATTTCAATTGGGATGTTGTTCTTTCACCGATGATACAAAGTGTCTTCCTGGTATGTGGAACAATGTAGGTAATTTGGTGGCAGAATAATACTGATGGATTTCTTAGTTTCTAATAAGTCATGCAGTCTGCAGTAATAAATATTGATTCTGTAAGTCATTATTTTGAGTCTGTGTGTTGCTGTACTGGCCCTAACCCTTCCTGTTTAAAAGAGGATAAACTCTAATGATCACTGAACCTGTGAGGAAGGAGGACATGTGCTAAAAATGTGTGCTTGTTATTCTTCTCCTATAATTAAGTACATATGCAGCAACTGAAAACACGAAAAGGTTTGCAGACTTGTATTGTTTGAAAACATAAATCTTTTTGTAAACCAGTTTGCTCTGTCTTGCTGGATTTTTAATCGTGGCATCTGCCCTGGACAAGCGCTGTACAAATAGATACACTTACTCTTCTTTAATTAATTGGGTGTGGCACTGAACACAGATATATCCAAATGAAAACCTGTTTGAAATAAAGGTGTTATGCTAGACTCACAGAGGGGCTACATCAGCAGTTTCTGGCCTGGAGGCAAATATTAGCATATTCTGAAACATTCTGTATCTGTAAAAAATTAAATTAAATTAAATTAAATTTATTTATATAGCGCTTTTCATAAAAGAGCAGGTCTAGATGGTACTCTGTGATGTTATTTACAGAAGCCCAACAATTCCCACCAAGAGCAAGCACTAGGCGACAGAGGCAAGGAAAAACTTCCTTTAAGAGGCAGAAACCTCGAGCAGAACCATGGCTCAGCAGGTGCCACAACCACAGATCCAGACTCCACAGCTCCAAAGCCAGAAACACCTGCAGGGAGTGATAGGAGGAGAGAGGAGAGGGACGAGAAAGCACAAGACTACCGGAAAGGGGAGAAGTTGTGGCAGTAACATGCAATAATGGGATGAGGTTGCATACAGAGGGAGAGAAAGTAGAGGAGAGAGGAGCTCAGTGCATCATGGGAAATCCGCCGGCAGTCTAGGCCTATAGCAGCATAACTAAGGGATGGTTCAGGACTCACCTGAGCCAGCCCTAACTATAAGCTTTATCAAAGAGGAAAGTCTTAAGCCTACTCTTAAATGTGGAGATGGTGTCTGCCTCCTGAACCCAAACTGGAACCTGGTTCCACAGGAGAGGAGCTTGATAGCTGAACGCTCTGGCTCCTAGTCTACTTTTGGAGACTCTAGGAACCAGAGCGCAGTGTTCTGGTGGGGTAGTAAGGTACTATGAGCTCTTTAAGATAAGATGGTGCCTGACCATTAAGAGCTTTGTAGGTAAGAAGAATGATTTTAAATTCTATTCTGGATTTTACTGGAAGACAATACAAAGAAGCTAAAACAGGAGAAATGTGATCTCTTTTCCTGGTTCCTGTCAGAACACGTGCTGCAGCATTCTGGATCAGCTGAAGAGTCTTAATGGACTTTTTCAAGCAGCCTGATAATAAGGAATTGCAGTAATCCAGCCTAGAAGTAACAAATGCATGGACTAGTTTTTCTGCATCATTTTCAACAGGATGTTCCTGATTTTCGCAATATTACATAGGTGAAAAAAGGCGGTCCTTTGCATAATGTCTGTGCTATGACGAGCTCTAAATCCTGACTGAAAATCCTCAAATAAACTATTGCTCTGTAGAAAGTCACACAGCTGTTTAGCAACTGCTTTCTCCAGAACCTTAGAGAGAAATGGAAGGTTAGATATAGGTCTATAGTTGGCTAAAACATCTGGATCAAGTTTGGGCTTTTTCAGAAGAGGTTTAATTACAACTACTTTAAAGTACTGTGGTACATAGCCTGTTGATAAAGATAGATTGATCATATCTAGCATAGAAGTGCTGACTAAGGGTAAAACTTCTTTCAGCAGCCTAGTCGGGATGGGGTCTAAGAGGCATGTTGATGGTTTAGATGAGGAAATTATTGAAGTTAGTTGGTAAAGATTGAGGGAAGCAAAACAGTCTAAACATGTATCTGGTTTTACAGCTGTTTCTAAGGTTCCTGAGTTTGGAGATAAGTCGGTTCCAGTTAAGGGCTGGTCATTTTGTGTGGAATTTTGTTTCTAATAGTTTTATCATTAAAGAAGCTCATGAAGTCTTAACTACTGAGAGATATGGGAATACGATTCTAATGTTGTAAGCAGGTATGGCTTTGTTTTCAGAGGTTGAGATGCAAAAACACTGTGAACAGTCAGGCTACAGGATGTTGAAAGTGCTGTCAACATGTGATCTCTCCTGTAGTCAACCCCACCTCTGCACAAAGTCACTTTATAATGAGAATGAACCATGTTTCCATGGCAGAACAGCTTATGCGGTAACTTTTCGTCGAGGTACTTTATCTTCATAATTAGACTATCAAAAACATGTAAATGTTTCATTCAGAGCAGCGACAGAGCAGGTTATTCAACAGCTGATTCTGTCCCAGCGTCAGGGGTGCTCTCAGTCGGGGGGATGGTGCTGGAAAAAGGCTTATGATAATGGTTAACCACAGGAAAGTAAATCAAACACAACACAAACAAAGTAAGAGCTCATATAACTAATTTGCATACATCTGGAGGCATTTGATTTCTTGTCAGGTGTGTATTTACCAACACATAGGATCAATTTCACATATATTTATATATTTATCTATATTTAAATTTACATTTACTCATTTGACAGATGCTTTTATCTAAAGCGACTTACATTTGAGGAGGGGGGGGTGTGCAGAATACAAGAGCAAAGAAGAGATGCTGAGATGTGTGGGTATTTATGGAAATGCTGGCGATGACGTGGCTCATGTGTGGTCCCAATCCTGAAACTCTGAGTATTTCAAGCTGCAGCAGGCAGCTATTTCCAGAAAACAGAGTATTATTTACAGCAGCATGTTTGGGAGGCATAGTAATATCTGTTGTATTTTTTATTTAATTTATTACATGAACATTATTGTAACTAATTATTTATTATTTTGTTTATTTGACTGATTTTGGCTGAAAGTCAAAGCTCAGATCAACATCAACCTATTCAGATGTCACTTAAATTTACTAAATGTACTATTTTTAAAAAAATGCATTACCCTGTTTCAGGGTGGGCTGTTATTGGCTGTTTGTATTGCTGTAACTATACTCTATTCAAAGCAATTGAACATCACAGGGCAAAGTTACACACCGAAAGTGCTTAATTTTTAAAATTTAAATATAAGTCAATGACAGTTAACACTTTAGCTTGTTGGTTTGATATAGGGTGGAGGAATTTATACCCTCATTTAATAACCCTACTGTTGAATGAATGTTCTGTGCAGAGAAGTACCATAAGTGTAACAGGTAGAAATGCTGTGCAGGCCTGCAGGTCTAACGGCTAAGCCTCAGGTCATGTTCCATCGACCTACAGCTCATCTTTGCATAGGAAATGTCTCATGCAATCGCAGCAAAGTGATTTATGAGACCTTTCTGGCTGCATACCCCAACCAAATTCATCTCCTGTGACAGAAGAAAAAAACCACACACTGAAGAATAACTTGAGGCTTTTTTTAATTTTGGTCATGAAGAACACAATTGGCTTGTTAAAGCAAACGTTTCAAAATTAGTATATCCACAAATCAACAGTGAAAGAATAATTAAGAAAATGAAATGCAAACAAATGACTGTAGTATTTTTTTTACAGACAGATGCATTTCACATAATTTATTTGTCTAAAATGGATATGTAACTTTTGAAGAATAGCTGGGCTGAGCTGAGGATGAATGGTCTCTTGGCACAATACATTTGGCCATACCCACTGACCATTGCCATACTTCAAAAATCATTATTTTTATAATCAACAATGGATCAAAATGATTACAGAAACTGTAATGTAAATGGTGTCGCTTGTAGTGATGGACCCACAAAAAATTATCAGCCAAGTCTGCAGCTCTACTGAGCTTTATAGCTTTTGGTTCATTAGTTTGGTTTAACGGCTACTTATGTTTGTTTCAGTCACCACAAACTCTTCAACCACGTTTCAAGCTTCAGCAGGCAGCTATTTCCAGAAAACAAAAGTTAGCAACTCCCTTCTAATGGAAGAGGCACATCTAGTTGCTAGGTGTAAAAAGGATGACAGAAACACACGTGAAAGCCAATGTTGCTGTGTTTGCTGGATGTGGAAATAGGCGACTGTTTGCTAACATGTTTCATGCATGTTATCTGTTAATCAGAGGTGGGATTGAACGTGTAAAGACAAAACTGAAGTGTACCGTAGAAAAGCTGAAATCTCAGTAGAATGCAAAAATCAGTATACACTCTGTTTCATAACTGTTATATTGATTATCTCTATTTCGCCCTCTAAATTTTAGATTAAAAGCTCAATCAATAGCTCATAGGAAGTAGGAACTGTACCTAAAACTCAACTTTATCAAATCGACTGCAAAAAATTATGTTGCCGTCTGATTCCTTCTGGCTATAGAAATATTCCAAAACCCAGTCACTAGCTGTGCTATGTGCAAACAACAAGCACCATGAAATTAAATACATACCAGAATCTCAGCTCAACCGAGGCTTCAGCCAAACAGTACAAAATGTGATTTACGTTCACTACACTACAGTTACAAAAGTAAAGAATTGGTCATTGTATAATAAATTAGAAAGCCACTCCTCTGACCATATCTGATCCTGTTTTTTGACAACATGTTAAAACAACTCTACTGGTATAACTTAGGTCCATATAACAGCAAATTCCCAATAATATTGCCAATACATAATAATATCGACACAGCAGTTACAGTATAATAAGCCTGAAAATGTGCAACAAGCTCCATCTTAGCATTTAATTCCATATTAAGTACAACCAGACCATCTACTTTGATTCAGTTCATTTAATTTAACTTTGAGCTAAATAATTTTGCAATATATACAATATATAAAAAATGCTAAAATATTACATCTCTGCAAGTCAGGAGTTAAGTTGGTCTTAATAACAATGTTACACTGCTCTCTCAGCCACAATGTAATGGAATGACAAGAAATTCTTTTGGTCACAATCAGCAAAACAAATTCATTGTAGGTGGTGCACATGAGCTTTTCAGAAAATCCCAAATAGTATGACTATTTAATGACAATACTTCAATATATCAGGTCCTAACCAAACCATGAAATAGATTTGATTATTTGTAACAGATGTCCCCAAATATATCTAGCTTTAAATGATCAAATGCAGGCTTATTAATAGTAAGCCTATTTTTTATTCATAGTTGTATTTAGTTATTGGTCATTTGTGCAGGATTCTTCATGATTTCAAATTTTACTTTATAAAGAGCTCATGTATTCCACTGCAAGCATCATTCACACTTTTTCTTTTAATCTGTCCTACATTTCATGCATCAGTTGTTGGTAGTTTTCACTTGAATGGAGGACAGGCTGTTTCCCATACTGTGGAAGAGCGGTGTTATGAACATGTCAGTCAGACTCCTCCATACCACCTGGAATGATGGTAAGAGCATCATGAAGCTCTGGATCACCGGCATCACCAACCTGGAAGGAAAAGGTCAAAAAGTCACTTCAGAACAGATGCTGAGAAATGATGCTTTCACAAAGTGCAATAAATGATACGTACATCAGGCTATTACTTATTTTTTGAGTTAAAGATAAACTGTTGATGTTATCACCAATGTTTCTGTAAAATGTCTTAAAACTCTAATCTTCATATAAGACAAAAAAACTTAAAAGGCATTATCCAGATTTATATATTAATGTTTATGTGTTTTATAGGATGTTTTGACACATGGAATATTTTTCTATAACCATGTTTTAAACTAATGTCTGTTATTTGTGTTGTTTATCAGCTGATGTTTTTGTTTTATCAGTAATGTGGTTTGTATCTCTGTTTTTCAAAAGCGCTATTAAGAACTGCATCATATTGTTACATTCCTGCAGCTTGTGACCTTCACTACAAATGCATAAAATAAAATGGTGTGTTGTGAAAGCTGTGTTCTCCTTTGAAGCAGCACCCCTCTGTGGATCTCCCTTCCTGACATTCCACATGTATTGACCAGCTTGGCGTCACTCAGTCCTGTATTGATGAATACCTGTGTACCACTGCAGTTGAAGGAATCATCCTGAGCTTGTGACCTCACCTAGATGAAAGGTCACACCAAAGTAACTCTGTAGCTCTGTATCTGCACCTGAACAATGTCCCACACTGGTCTACAAATAGGCCTGTATTTCTGCTAGAATGCCAGCTATCTGGCAAAGGGCATGGGGCGTTTTTTTCCCTACTACCAGTGGAACTCAACATTCCTCCCAATTTTCCATAGAGCGTTTACCTCTGGGCATAAAATGTTGTTTCATCAAGTATTAATAAATGGACTCTTTGGGTTGGAGGCACCTGGTTTAACTTGATGCAGGCGCATATAGCTGACATAAGCATGACATAATTCTCTAAACAAAAGTATAAAAGCAACATGCTGACAAAATGTTTCAATGTTATTCAGCATGTGACGTTGACTTTAAAAATAACTTCTGTCAATGTTTGCCTAGAGATCCAGAACAAGCATGCGGGCATGTAGCAGTGGCCCCTAAGGAAAAGTCACATAGCCTAATGTTCCAGTAATGTTTCCACAGGGATTTAAGCAAAGAAGGTTTTAAGTGATATTATAATACTTTAGCATTTTACAGATTTTTGTATCACTAATGCTTATATAATCTTCACATTGAAAGTTATGTGTTTGCAGCACAGCATAATTTTTTAATCATTTTAATGATTAATAATAATAATATAATATAATAGATAATATTTTTTGTATACACTACAATATGCTGTGTTTATTGGAATTTTTTATTTATTTGGAGTACTTACCATGGGGTATCTCTTCCTAATTTCCTAATTCCCAAGTATTTTATGTGTCATTGCATCACTCAAATATGATGTTTATATGCAAATTTCCTGAAAAAAAACAAATATTTCTTGTTTGGGCAATATTTGGCACTGTGCCAGATAAACCAGGCTGAAAACAGCACCAGACAGAAACCTGCAGGTTGACAGGAACTTCTCCCTACCAAATGTGGATGCAGCTGAGCACTCCGAAGACCACTCCGAGGATAAAAGCCATGGGCACGGCCAGCAGCGTGGTCAGCAGACGGTAAAAGATGAATTTAACCAGCTCAAACACGGCGTGGCTTCCTATCCACACTCTGTCGAAGCTGTGTGTGGAGATGGGCTCCGCAATGACATCCCCAAACCCAACCTGTCAGATTGTAAAAGTCAGGGCACACAATGAGATTTCAAAATAATCAGCACTAGCAGGAAGGTCTTGGATGATGAATTGACGCGCAGCGACTTCCAGGTATTCACGCTGCAGATTACCAATCTCACAAAAACAACACGTTTAGGCTAAATGACTGATTAACTGTTGTTAACTTGACAACCACTTCTTTGTGTAGTTTCACTTTCAAATAATAATGCCGCACAAACTAGCCTACAGACTTTACCTTCAAGTGCGCGTTGATATCGTTTGGATCTCGGTCCGGAGCCGCTGTATACACCTTCCCCTTCTTCAAGAGAATGGGTTCTATCGATCTGTTGAACTCGTCTTCGTCCATAATTATACTGGTGTCCGATTTCTCCTTTTCCAGACCCATGTTGTTCAGTTAGACGGGCAGAGGCGCAGGGAGAGCAGCTGGTGACGGTGCGCTCTGCGCCGGATTGCGCGGCACCCCGCCCCGTATGGAAAGCAGCGCAGCGTGGGGCAGAGGAGACACAACAAGCTCAAAGTCACTTCCCCAGACCATTTCAAGAGCTCAGTGATGACTGACACTACTGTGCTGTGTGCTGACCGCCAGCCCTAAGCCATGGCGACCCATATGTCCTCAGGGTTTAATGCCAGCCAATACACCAACCCTCTTCAACCATGTGATTAAGCATGATAGCACAAAACAACTTCCGGGTCTTTTTATTTTCTTTTTACAACTGAAACACTCATCTTTTTAAGTGGTTGGTTAAGTGGATCCATTTCTTTTAACTTATCATAGATGTTTTGGAAAATGTAACCACCTGTAGTTTGAATTATTGTGCAGAAAACATCAGTTAACAATTCCCCACAGGCCTTGTGTTTTGGAAAGAACACCCACAAGTTTACCCACTGTGTAACTATAAAAGCCTGGTTATTATTGTTGATGTAGCCGAACACATTGTTCCACCTGTTGAGTTGATTTACCACAAATTTTCTTTTTGGTCTGTTTGAATTTATTAGTGTCTGGCTGTTTCATACTCTGAAGGCACCAACCCAACATTGTTAGAATAACTGCAGGTCCTCAGATGTCTAAACGAGAACCACAACAGGAAGACATTTTCCTTAGGCAGGCGGAGTTTCAAATGATGGATGTTTCTCAGAACACATGTTTGACCAGACCCCATGGCCCCTCATCAACATACAGTATATGTTTGTTGTTTGACAACATGAGAAATTATTATAATATTAAGACTGTGCAAAGTTATAGAGCCATGATACTATGTTTTTCATGTGTGTGTACTTGGTGCCATTCCCCTTATTAAATATATGAATGTGTGTGTGTGTGTGTGGGAGAGCTTGTATGTCTTTCTGTGCATGCATAGTATGCATACTATTATGGTTTTGCAAGGTGGACCCTATCACAGGACACAGAGGTAAGGTGAGATAAGGAAGATTCATTGTAGGGAAATGGAGAGGTGGAGAGGTGAAGAGATGTTGGCCGGCAGAAACAGAGGGGCGATGGTGGATGGCAGAGCTGGACCAGGCTGGACATACAGATGAGGGTGAGAGGTGTGGGCAGGCTGGAGATGATCCACTATGGTACACAGGAAAAGACAATTCATATTGTCTACAACAAGGAATCAACATGAGGAATAGTACTCAGAAATACGCCACACTGAAGAAATACACTAACTATCACTAAAGCTGCACAATCTGGGGCCCAGTGTGTGAAGAGCCGGGGTTTAAATACTGTTGGGTAGATGAGTAGAGGGACAGCAGGTGTGCATAATCAGCAGGGATCCAGGAGCCAGGAGAGTCAGAGAGGGATTGCCACACCTACACCACAAACACACAGACAGACAGAAAAGAGACACAGGGAAGGGGAAACACAAGGAAACACAAAACTAATACAAGGCCATTGAAGCATACATTGTGTGTGTACACATCTCATTACATCTATCATCATCTTCCAAAACTCTTTCCATACCTAACATCAACATGACATCAAACTTTGTTTTCAGAGTTCCTGAAAGGGAATATTTTGTAGATGATTTGTCATATGTCATAAATGTACAGGAGTAAAAAGTTCAACATTTCCCAATGAAACGTAGTGGTGTAGAATAGTCTTCCAAAATGAAAAAACTACCTGTAGCTACCTAAAAGTATCTGTAGGCTGTCTAAGAATCGTATTTACAGGAAGTATGGTGCTTGAGCAACAGAGAAGACAATAGTCATTTTCTGTTGAATGTAAGCAAACCACTTCCCAAGGTATTATGGGATGGTGGGAGTGAGATGCATTATTGACAAGTTCTGCAAGCTGCAAGAAAAGGGAGGGATGGAATATTTTGTTTTTATTTTTTATTTTTTATTTTTTTTACAATTTTTAACTTTATGCTACAAGGACTAAATTCACCTCAGAAAAGATTTGCCAATAAAACGGACAAAGAAGAAAAAGTGATGAAGCCAAGGGCCAGGAAGTTTTGTCCATCGTTAAGATTACAGATACAAACAAAAACAAAGTGTTTTCAGAGGGCAGGTTTTCAAACTGCCAAGCAGCATGACTAATACTTATTCTCCTCAAAATACACTAAAAGTAAAGAACATGAATTGCCATGTCACTTTTATTTATTCGGGTCAATCAACAAATTCAACCAAAGAAAAAGTTTGGCTTCTTTGAACTTAGATTTTCAGATGGGCTACCAAGCTAAGCTAACTGGCTAGATTACATTTTTTAAGAGTTGTTAATGGTTTGAAGGCTGCATTATATCAGCTTCATCTTCTCTTACTTCTTGTCTTTCTCACTGATCTTCACTTCAACCAATGATTTGTTAAATGACTGGAGGATTGAATGCTGATGTTCCAGAACTATTTTCAATTAAACAAAGACAAAACTGAGGTAGTTGTTTTTAGAGGAACAATTAAAAGTCTGCACTCAGCGTCAATTGTTATAAACAAAGTGTTTATTTTCAGTCGACAGTGTACAATTAACTGAAGATAAATGCATGGATAACTTAGATAAGAGTCAACAAAGAATTGATTTCAAAATACTACTGTTTGTTTATAAGCACTGAATGTTTTAGGGCCAATATACATTTCTGATCTTCTACTATGTTATGAACCATCCAGAACTCTCAGGTCGTCTGATACAGGTCTGACTCTGTGTCAGTGTCAAAACTAAACATGAAGAAGCAGCGTTCAGTTTTTTTTAATGCACCATATATCTGGAACAAGCTCACAGAAAACTTCAGGTCTGCCGAAACTGTCAGTTTTTTTAAAATCAAGACTGAAGACTTTTCTGTTTGCTGATGCCTTTTTATTAAATCAAATAATTATTCCATAACATATTCTATTTTATCTTGTGTTTATTTTCTATTCTCTTGGATTTTCAATCAATGTAATTAACTGTATTTTATGTCCTTTTGTGGTGTGTTTCTTTTGCACTTTGTCTTGATGTGTTTGTGCAAAGCACTTTCAATTGCCCTGTTTCTGAAATGTGCTGTATAAATATAACTTGCCTTGCATATTATATAACCATTTTAGTCAAAAAAGCTGCAGCTCTTTGGTTTAAGATTAGTAAAATGTATTTTTTTTTTTACCTCCAGAGCAGCTCTGTCTGCAGCCAAATATTTGTCTTACTAAAAGGTCAACCTGCCTGCACTTCTCTGCACATTTACTTTGTTGATGCAGCAGGCCCAGCAACCTGCCTATTGATGGGCAATCTGTAAACAACACCCTCTTTTGTTTAGACACCGTGGCCTGGATGTAACACACAGAGAAAAAAAAGTAGGCCAGGACAGTGAGTGACAGCAAAGCAGAAACACAGCAGGCAGAGCAGAGGGCTGCTGGGCATTCAGAGTGATCAGGGTGATCCCTGGCCACAATACAACACCACAATACTCCTGGATTAACACACAAGAACCATTCTGACAGACAAGCTTACAGCAAGGCTGGCTGGCCTGAGGGTGAAGTGGGGAGAGAGGACAATGTTGATATTAGTGTGTATGTGAGTGTGTAAAAGAGAGCTCTGCAGAGGAAATTATTACTTTTGGTTTGAGTTACAGTTTGGATACCAATGGTGAGGTGAGATTATAACAAGACTTTTGCTCAGCCAGTAGCAGAGCCTAATAAGGCCCTGATCGGACAGAATGCAGTTTTTTTAGTGAGAGGCACCTTTTTAAAATTGTTTTATATTAACAGTGAGCGTTCTGCGCGCTGTTTATGCGCCCTGGGCGCCTGCTGCGCCTTGCATTTACCTAGGAGCGCTCTGAGTGCACAAAGTAGAAAATAATTCAACCTGAGCATAAAAGTGCCCGACGTCATTCGCATTTTTTCCATTGTCCAATCTAATGAATGGAGAGACGGCCCTCAGTTGTGGTGATGGAAGTTTACAGTTGCTTGGATTGTCCGGAAATGCTTTCTGTCTGATCAGGGCCTAAGATGCAGATGTTGGTCAGTGTGTCTGTCCAAACGTTTGGGCCAGAACAAGATATTTCAACAAATACTGGCAAGATTGACATGAAATTTGAAATGACTCTACAGGAGGATAACTGATAATTTTGGTGACCTTTGGTCCATGTTTGCACACCTCTGATCTTCTGTAATCAGGTCAACATTTCCACATATAGTCAAGAGATATTAGAATATAATGTGCAGATTGTCATGAATTATACTGTAGCACATTCATTCTCCCCAGAGCGTAAACTCACATCAAAAGGTTAACTTTGCACAAAATATTCGCTATAACTGAATTGGGAGAAAGTGAGAGATATCAGTGAACACTGCAGAGCATCTTTATGCTCCCAAAGAAATGACCCATTTGAATTTTAACCCCAATTATTTTCCTCGTCTCTTGTCTCAGGACAATCCTTTAGTTTCACGATCGGTATGTTAAGAATTGCAAATTTATCAGTATGCTGTTTATTCCATACAACAACACTCACATTTTATTGATTGTACTGAGCATCACAGCCTTTTAGATGTCTCTAACAAGACTTTACACTTTTAGTCTTGTACTACATACTATTATGCCATACAATTCAATAACATGTTGTGGTACTGCAGTATCTCCTTGTTCCTTGGGTTTTCATATGTTTTACCCCCTTCCCTGTGTTTCCTGTCATTCTCCCTGTCTGTTTCTCTGTGTGTTTGTCTGGGCATGGATACATTCTCTGGCTCCTGCTGCCAAGCTTCACCTGCGCACCTGTTCCTCATTCTACTAATCAAGCCCCTGCAGTTAGGGTTGCCACCCGTCCCTTAAAATACGGAATCGTTTTGTCCCGTATTTCCGAGTTGTCTTTAATGCAGCGTCTGATGCAAATCATCCACCCGCATTCTGTAAAGACTTGCCCTTTTCTACACCTGATTGGGTAATACTTGTTGCCATTGTTAATTATCAAAACATAGTGCCTATGTGAAGAATATAAACAACTACGTGTTATGTTTAACCGATCTATAGAATTGGATCCTTCAATACTATAAAATTAACAATAGGCTAAATAAAAAATAAATACATATGTATAAATATATTTACTGACCTGTCACAAAAAATGTGACAAATTAAATATAGAAATGTTTGTAGATAGGTTATTAATGTGTGGTTTTAATTGTTTGGATGGTATTACTGCAAACAATGACAAATACTTTGGCCAAAATCTGTTTATTAAGTGCATTAGAAATTTCTCATCCTGTCCTTCAACAGCCATGTCATAAACATCTCAGCATCCACTGGTTATGTGGAAAGG